GAAATGGAAATCATCTTACCTCGTCGGTTTTACCCCCAGTTACAAACGAACTAGGCAGTGCAAACAATACTGGTCGTGCATACTTTCACGTTCTAGTGGTAGATTCATTCGATTTTGCTCATCCTTCATGCACACGTATGTCGATTGTCGAGGTCTCAACCTTCTGATGAGTCGGTGAAGGTCCAACGAAGCAGTCTGGCAACGTCATGCCCGTTTCAATGGCCGCAGCCACTACCATGACTGACGACGCATATGTTCGTGTTTGGGCCAAAGATTCATTCGTTTTATTTTTGTTTTTTTAATTTTGCTCCTCCTATAAGGCCCGTTTGTCAAAACGAATGGGTACTGAAAAAACGAGAAGAAAAAGAAAAAAAATCTAACAAAAAATCTAAAAAAAAAAAAAAAAAAAAAACTAACTTTCCTAATAAAAATGGTTGTCCGTTTTCAACGAGCGCCTTCTGGATCTGTTGGGGACTGTAAGTCCCCAGCTTCTTCTCACAGCGCCATCTGACGCTTTAGTTCGTAGTGTTTTTTTTTTTTTTTTTTTTTTTTTTTTTTTATTTTTTTAAGTGTCGTGGGCATAGGCCAACGACCACTTTTGCTCGTAATGTGCCTTGTTGGAGCCTCCCCTCCCCTTTTTTGTGAGTGGACCAAGTTCGATCTCAACGGGGGATCGAAAAATATGGGTAATTTCTCGATTTTATGCGTGTCATCCTTCGCGCAGTGGCCATGTTGTATCCGTGTGGTTGTTTTTTGTCAAAGAAATGGTAGCACCTAGCTGGTTAGCATCTTCAGAAAGGAGTTAGCCCATGCAACGTATCGTCAGGCTCGATCTCAGCGGATACTTACTGGGTTAGCTCCTATCACGGGAGTTGCGCCTGCAACTCTTCTATTTGAAGGGTTGCAACCTAGTAAGCCGCCTACTCCCTGGTCTAGGTAGGTGCAGTCCACCTACTCCTTGGCCTAGGTAGGAGTAGTCCGCCTATCCCTTCCAAAGGCAGTCGCTCCGCCATCCATCCGGTTCGGCTTGGTCTAGTAGGCCCGACAATCCACTCCTTTGGTCGTGGATTTGCCCTCGGACCCCTGACCGTCCATCCTTTTAGAATGACATGACACTTTGGCCGTGTTAGCCCTTCTATCCGTCGCCGCACCCTTGCGGCTAATTTTTGGGTCTTTTTAGCCTTGAATCGCGCGACTGCTAAGTCACGCGTCATTATTTTAGATAGAACAGGTCTTGTTTTAACATTTCCACACTCGTTCCTCTCTGCGGCCCTGCTAGAAACTGACGACTACCGCCATTATTTCTAGACGCCGCATATGTCCGGACTAAGGTTCAAAAAATTATAGTTTCTCAGTCATAGGCTAGTTTGAATAAACTTCTGGCAGACATCAGTCTCATCAAGTTCCTCAATTTAACGAAAAAGTCAGACAACGCCCGACATTGAAAAACCCGAGCAGATACCCTTGTAAGGGTTTCTGCTCCGACAACGTGATTTAGCGAAGTTTTGGTTGCAAGATGGAAGGGGAAAGATAGTTGAAACAATAAGAGGAAAAATTTGAATGGGGTATAGTAGCTAAATTGGGATAGTGGACTAAAAAGGTCGACCAGTAGTGGTCAGGTTTTCAAGGTTTGCAACTTCCGATTAGATAGTAGGAAGAAATTGTGACACGTACAAAGTTTGTAACGATGAGGGATGACGTATTGGTGTGGTTTTAATGGGGTTGAGTTTTTTTAAGTAAAAAAGTAAGTTGAGTGAGTCATAAGGAAGAAGGGGCAACTTGAGTTTTTAGTGGTCGGGTTTGGAATATGGGATGAGAAAGATCCATCTGTAGATAACTAGAGGGATGGTTGAGCTTCAAAGGCCTAAATTTAGTCCTGATGATGGAAAGAAACTTAGATTTTGATAGGGTAAGGACAAAGAGGGAGGGGAAGATGGGAGGGGAATGCGTCGATTAAACGCATAGGAGCAATGGTCGGTTATTGAAAAACGAGGGAAATGGTGGGTGGTAGTGGCATAATGCAAATTGCCGAGTAGGTGGAGGGGAGTCGAGCGAGGCAAAAGAAGGAAAGATCTAATTGGGTCATAAAAGAGAGGATAATGAAACGTGATGTACTGGCGTAGTTTTGGTGGGGTTGAGTTTTAGGGTGGAAGAGTAAGTGGGGTGAGTCATAAGGAAGAAAGGCCCACATGAGCTTTAGTAGCTGGGTTAGGGCTCTGGATTGGAAAAAGTCCATCGGTAGATAACTAGGGGCATGATCGAGCTTCAAGGTCTTCCACATCGCAGTCCTGATAGCGGGAAGAAACTTAGACTCCGACAAGGTAAGGACAAATAAGGAGGGGAAGATGGGGAAAAATGCGTTGATTAAACGTAAAGGAGCAATAGTCATGTCATTGAATAATGAGGGGTAGGGGTGGATGGTAATGGTATAGTGCAAAGCTGCAAGGTTAGAGAAAGGTGTAGGGGGAATGAGCGAAGCATAAAAATGTGCATAAGTTAGTTAGATTAGGATTTTGTATTACATAACCTCAAGGTCTGAGCTAAAAAGGCTAGGTTTGGCGTAGAAGTATGGGGAGGAGTGAGCGACAGGAAGGTGGTTACATACCTTTTTGGCATCGAGAGTTCTCCTCGCCTGATAGTGTTTTCAGACCTCTCTCTAACATTCACAAGGAGTGGCGCCTTCGATTTGGATACAGTCCCAAAGGTTGTGGAGGGGATATTATTCCCCACAGTAAATAGAGAGGCAGCTATTGCTGGGGAAGTTGCCCCGTGAACTGCTGGAAGCCATAACTTAGTGTCATCGGTTCTGAGTGCAGAATTGAGAGACAGTACTTAGGAGGGAGTAAAGTGGAAGTGGAGAAAATTCTTTTGCCGAAATTGGTAGACTACGGTATCTGTAAGGTTTAGGAAAGTTTCATTGCGAGGTTGGGGCAGCAAGGAGGGGGAGGGCTCATCCTTCGAGGGTAAGGATAGTGCTCCGCTAGGTTGCCGTAGGAAGGAGGGCGAAGAGACTACATAGTCTCTGCCCATTGTCGAAGCTGAAAGTTGTGAAAGGTCGGGTCGATCAGTCGGTAGTAGGTAATCTAACGAGGATGGGAAAGCCGCGCTGCTCCTTTCTGGAAGGCTGGGTACCGAAGTCCGTTGGTGAAGGGAAAAAAGGCCGGCAGCAGCGATTCTCGACAGTGAAACAAAGTGTAGTTATTTGAAAGGGTGAGTGAAAGCCTTAGGGCCGACCTGTCACTCTAATTAACGTGAATGACTAGTAGTAAAAGTACCGACCGAAGAAATATCCTAAAGAAGTGGTTGCACTATAGTTCACGGGAGGAGTAAAACTGGATAAACGATGAAGGGGATTCTTAGACTTACTAACGTAAGAAGGTACTAGAGAGAAAGAAGCAAAGGTTACCTGTAATAGTTGGTTGGCTATGGTAGATAACAGGGCGAAGTATACTTATCTCGTGGGCAGCAAATGCCTGAGGATTTACCAGGCGAGGTGCGATCGAACGTTGCTGACACAATCGTTCGTCTTGCGGTGCAGGTACCAGGAACGGAGTGTCGCTGAAAGCGCGCATGAAAATCCGCCAAAAGACAAATGTCACCTTGGAAAACAGTCGGGGCAAGAAATAGTCAAGCGCCGCCGAGTCTCGGAGAGCAGGGGTGGGGGGCAAAATTAGCCTGGCTGAAATGAGCCTTCCCCAAAAGGACATTGCCGGTCCTACCCTCTTTGGGGTGCCACTGCTACAGTCTTCCCCCGAACACAACGCACCCTCATTTTGGCTGTATCTGGCTGGAGATTCAACTTTTATACATTCATTTTAAGGGTGCGTTATGTTGGGGGGAAGATGGCAGTTACCGGGTCCTGTTCCAATAACGAAGTCGAGGGCTAAGAGAGCCCTTGCGGGCCATTGGGGTTCTCAAATGAGCTGCTTCCGCGATAATCCCACCGCCACCGGTCTGAATGGTTGTGTAGATACAAGGCTCCCCTCCGAAGCTGCTGGCCAGTTTTTGCTAACGAGCCTGAGTAAGTGACAGACAACGTATATACTGATACCAACAAATGCTGGTACCTCGTCCCCATGCCTCCTGACTTCAAATGATGGCATGCCAGTCCTGGTCTTCTGGGTCCTCTTTGAAGGGTCTGGGTCCTCTTTTTGAAGAGCAAATTCTCCGTGAATACCCATTTCCCCGCCCAATGGTGAGCGGGAGACCTCGCCTTCTGAAAGTTTTCGACCCCTATCCTGCGAGTTAGCGGGCATTTTCTCCAGTCCCGCCGCCAGCAGGCGGACATCTAGCATCATCATCGTACTCACACACATACACACACACACACACACACACAGAGAGAGAGAGAGAGAGAGAGGTGTTCTCTACCCTCGAAGGCGGTGTAGGATCGCCGCCACACACACACACACACACACAGAGAGAGAGAGAGAGAGAGAGAGAGAGAGAGAGAGAGAGAGAGAGAGGTGTTGTCTAACTGTCGAAGGAGGTGTAGGATCGCGATGGCGGCTCCTACGACGACATCGAAAGGGAAGAGCCCGGGCTTTAATAAGAAACGGAAGGCGGACCAATTAAAGGCTGAACAGAAGCGAAGAAAGGAGGAAGATTCAGAAGAGGAAGAGGAGGGAGAAAGCGAGGAGGAGGAGAGAGCGATGGGCAATGGAAAGAAAGTAGGTGATCGTGACGAAACCGGCGGCCGCGATAGCGACGAAGATGATAAAAGTGATGAAGATGATGATGATGAAGATGATGATGATGAAGATGATGATGATGATGATGATGATGTTGATGATGATGACGAAAGCGATGGTGTAAGAGACGACGAGTTTGTGAATGAGAGCAGTGAGGACGACAGCGATGGTGAAGGTGATGATGAAGAAGACGGCGATGAAGAAGAAGATGAGGAGGAAGGTGGTGCGAACGGGGAGGGGAAAAGAAAAGCGAAGTCTGGGGCAGACAAAGACAAAGAGAAGAAAGGCGGGGAGAAAAAAGTAGGGGCGAAAATAGTAGGGGCTAATAAGCAATTTACCGACAAGAACAAGAAGTGGTTGAAAGCTGTGCCAAAATCAGACCTATTAGCTTCTGGATCTTCTTCTTCTGAAGAGGAGGAGGAGGAGGAGGAGGGGGAGGGGGAGGGGGAGGAGGGGGCGAGGAACGACGATGACGTTGAAGATATGGAGGAGGAGGAGGAGGAGGATGCGTCTAGCGATGAAGATGAAGAAGAGATGGAGATCGAGAGAAAGGCGCGCAAACTCGATGCAAAGCGGCTGAAAGAGGCGGCGGATGCTCAAGCAGAGATGCAAACGAACATCATGGACGGTGAGGTCTTCCAGTTGCCAACGGAGGAGGAGTTGGAAGACGAGAAGAAGCAGCCGCCTGATCTTCCTAGCATCAAGAAGAGGATTCAAGAAGTGGTAAGAGTGCTCAACAGCTTCTCGAAGCTGAGGCAATCAGGCATTCCCCGATCTGCTTACGTGGACCTCCTTTCCAAAGACTTGGCCGTTTATTACGGATACAACGAGTTTATGATAGACACGTTCTTGCAGATGTTTCCAGCTGCAGAGGCGGCGGAGTTCATTGAGGCCAACGAGACCCCACGACCTGTGTGCTTAAGAACGAACACTCTTAAGACTCGAAGAAGGGAGTTGGCTGCCGCACTAATTAACCGAGGAGTCAATCTAGACCCTCTGGGCACTTGGTCGAAAGTGGGGTTGGTAGTCTACGACTCCCAAGTGCCAGTTGGCGCCACACCGGAGTACATGGCAGGGCATTACATGCTGCAGAGCGCGTCGTCTTTCCTCCCAGTGATGGCACTCGCACCGCAAGAGAAGGAGAAGATTGTAGATATGGCGGCGGCGCCGGGGGGGAAGACGACCTACATAGCCGCGCTGATGAAAAACTCGGGCATCATTTTCGCGAACGAGCTGAAGAAGCCAAGGCTTAAGTCTTTGATGGCCAACATCCACCGCATGGGGGTCACTAATACCGTTGTGTGCAACTACGACGGCAGGCATCTTCCCAAAATCCTAGGGTTAAACTCCATGGACCGAGTGCTGCTGGATGCGCCTTGCAGCGGCACGGGCGTCGTTTCCAAAGACCCTTCTGTCAAGGTCAGCAAGAGCAGTGACGAGATCTTGGACTGTGGGCGTCTACAGAAAGAGCTCATCTTAGCCGCCATCGACATGTGCAATTCCTCCTCCCCTAGTGGAGGGTATGTTGTGTACTCCACCTGTTCTGTTATGGTTGCCGAGAACGAGGCTGTCATCGACTACGCACTGCGCAAGCGGGATGTCAAAGTGGTCCCCACCGGGATCGACTTCGGTCAGCCGGGATTTGTCAGATTTCGCGAACATCGCTTTCATCCGTCGGTCGCCAACTCTCGACGTTTCTATCCCCACGCTCAGAACCTGGATGGCTTTTTCGTGGCCAAGCTGAAGAAACTAAGTAACAGAGCGAAGAAACCTGCGAAGAAAGATGAAGACGACGACGAAGGAGAAGAAGAGGAGGAAGAGGAGGAGGAGGAGGAGGAGGAGAGGAAAGAAGGTGGTGGTGGCGGCGGCGGAGGAGGGGACAAGACGAGGAGGACGGGCGATGATGGAGTTTCCAAAACAGGAAAGGCAAATGGCAGGAATGCGAAGGACTCGAAAAGGGCTGGCGATGGGGTTACCAAAACAGGAAAGGAAAAAGGCGGGAATGTGAAGAAGGCGGGTGGTGGCGCGCAGGTTGGAGATGGCAGCCGCGAGGAGAAGGTGAAAAAACAGGAGGGAAATCCTGATGATGGCCAGGGCAAGAAGAAGAACGACAAGGACAAGAAGAAGCAGAAGAAGAAGGAGAGGAAGGAGAAGAAGAAATTCCCCTCGAGAGATGAAATTTCCGCCAGAAGGGAGGCCAAACGAGTGGCATTGAGGGCCGCAAAGATGCAGAAAACTGAAGGAGGAGGAGGGGGGGGAGAAGGAGGAGGAGGTGGAGGAGGAGGAAGCGAGCAAATTGCGGCAGCAGGAAAAGTGATGACGAAGTCAGACGGAAAGGAGAGGGAGAGAAAGCATTTGGCAATTGGGAAAAAAGGAGGACAAAAGGGAGGTCCAGGGGGGGAAGGGGGGATGAAAGAAGGGACAAAGGAGAGAAGTGCGACTCAGCAGGAGGGCAAAATTTCAAAAGGGGGGAAGATTAGTCAAGGGGGGAGGGGGGGCTCTAATGAGAAGAGAAAATCCTCAGGACATTCTCCTGCCAAGAGGAGGCGCCTTGCGGACGGGAAAAGCACCAGCGGCGGCGGCGGCGGCGGCGGCGGCAAAGGGAAAAGGTGAAGAGAGAGTGGGTAGGATGGACTAAGTAGGTGGCGTGTGTAGTATAGGGGGGCGAAGCAGTTTTGGGGGTATATAATAATAATAATAGTAGGGTAAAAGCATTTTTGTTTTTGTTTTTTTTTGTTTTTTATTTTTTTTATTTTTTTTAGGGTAAAAGCAATTTTGTCCCAACCTTCCAGGAGAGTGATCGTAAACATAGACGAAAGGAGAGCAAGAGATTGGCGGGAAACATCATCAAATTGGCGGGAAACATCATCAAATTGGCGGCGAACATGATCAAATTGGCGGGAAACAGGATCAAATTGGCGGGAAACAGGATCAAATTGGCGGGAAACAGGATCGAATTGGCGGGAAAGATCATCAAGGATTGAAGAAGACAGTCAAGAGAGAAAGAGGAAATTTGGAGAAATGTTGAACGGTACTAAAGCCATTTGATATGTGTTTTTTGTTTTTTGGCTTGTTGAGTTTCGCCCTTTTTCCGTAGTCATAGTTGCCTTGATTCCCTTTTCTTTTAATTCTCTTTCTCTCTCTCTCTCTCGCGCGCTGCATTTGGAATCCAGATCATCCTGGTCATTCTGATTGTTAGAGTATCTATCCTCTGATACGTCATCTCATTCTCCCCCTCCCCTCCCTCCTTTCCCCCCTCTTCCCCCGCTCTCACCCCTTCCCCTTCCCCCCCCCCTCTCCCCCAAAAGATAGGTCGTCTCTCTCTCTCTCTCTCCGCTTCCTAGGTTCCTGTGTTTATCTGTCTGTCTCGAGCAGATTGACTGAGACTAGCACAATAGAGAGGTTTTTTTTTATTTTTATTTTTTTTTTTATTTTTTTTTTTGAGAGAGAGAGAGAGAGGGAGAGAGGGAGGTGTTTCAGAAGTTGAGAGTGTTGTTTGGGAAATTGACGGAAGATTTGGAAAGAGTTTTTTTTTTTTTTTTTTTTTTTTTTTTTTTTTTTTTTCTGTGGTCATCTGTTCGTGTCAGTCTGTGGCCACAAACGGTTTCCGTCTGTGGGCCGTATGTGGCCACAAAGCTTGT